AGCATGCCCTGGGGGTGGGGCCAGCATGGCAGGCCAGGGATTGAAACCCCTCCCCTGCTCCTGTGTCTGCCTGAACAGGCACTTTAATCCGCTGAGCTGAGTGACTGTTATTATTCTTGGTGATATTAAAGATATTTTAAAAGTAGAAATTTCCTTTTTTATTAACAAAACGTTTGGGTATAGCAATAAAATATGGAGAAAATATAACAACACTTTTAGACTCTCCATATGGTTACACTGTCAGAGATTCCATTAATACCTCCTTCCTCAGTTTCACTCTGCCCCTCTGTTCGAAGAGGTTACTGCTATTTTGAATGAGGTGTTTAATATTCCATCCATGAGTTTACACTTTTACATATAGAAGTTCTACTTTCTGTGAGCTCAATCAAGAGTATGTACAACTAGCGTTTTCTTAACATTGGAATTATTGGTTAGTAACTTAAGAAGTTGACTTGTATTAGAACATACCTTCCCATTTGCTGTATCGTCATTGGTCTGGCTCTACGAAGTACTAGGCTAAGCACTTTTGCTGCTGCTTCCTAAAAATAAACAACCAACATTTACTCTGTAGAAGATTAATAGTGTCTTTCATTATTTCTTAAATTTACCACTGTTCTAATTAATTAGAGAAAAACTCTTTCCTAAGAGAAATAATGGGTGTGATTCATAACACCTGGTATGAGAAGTTATAAAACATTTATATGACTTGGTAGGGAGATACTAAGAATATATATATAAGAACTATGTCTTAGTTACTTTTCTCATTTTTGAGATATAATAGCTGATGCCCACAGGCTAAAAGTGTAGAGATTTATTTCAGTTTACAGTCTGTAATGGTTTCAGTCCACAGTTGGCTGGCTCCAAGGAAAGGTGGATGGCAGAGAGGCATTGCAGAGGAGCACTCTCCATGGAGAAACTCTCCACAGCAAAGCAAGAAGCAGAAAGCTACAACCAGCAGCAAGCCTGCCTTTTCTCTCCTTTTATATTTCACCCAGGTTCTAAGCCTATCGACTGGTGCCTCCCCCACACCAGGTAGGACTTCCATTTTCCACATCCAGAACTATGATAATTCAAATCAGTGGACTAATACCACACACTCTTAATCTCAGTACCACGTGCACTTGACCAGTCCAGTTCCATAAAGCCCCACATATGAGCATGTGAGGCTTTGGGGGACATATAGATATAAGTCTTAACATTACACCCTTGGTCCCCGCAAAGACTCATGAACATCCGTTTGCGCAAAAGGCACTTAGTCCATCTCTTAGAGTTTCTAAAGTCCTAACAGCTTCAGCACTGCTGAAAAGTCTAAATCCAAAGTCTTCTCTAAGCTTAAGGGCAAACTCTTAGCTGTGAGCTCCTATATAAATGTAAAGAAAGTTAAATAAATCCAATATCCAATGGCACAAGATAAAACACTACTATTCCAAAAGGTACAAATAAGGTGATAGAAAGGAAAGGGAGTAAAGAAAGATCCAAATCCAACCAGTCAAATATAAAGTTCCATAGCTCTATTTTCAGCATCTGGGGTGATCTGTGGCAAGATATGAACACCAAAGGGCTTGAGTTGCTCCACTGAAGATAGCTGCGGCTCTGTGGGTTCTTTCTTGAGCCAGATTTGCTCACTTCTTCAGTTTTCCCCTGATGATCCTTATTCCTGGCTTCTCCAACCTTCTGGGGTTTCTGCTGCACTTTTGACTTACACGCAGCCTCACATACACAAGGCCTTTAATGGATCACAATGCCTGGCCCCCTAGGCTTTCTTCTGAAATCTGGATGGGAGCTTTTCTGAACTCTCCAACTCTTGCATTCTGCATGCACCTAAAACTAGCACTATGTGGTTGATGCCAAGGCCTGTTGCCGGCTAGAGCGGTGGCCAGGCTTTCTTTTCTCTTGGCTATAGGGGTCAAGTGCCCAGATTGATGAGAACTGTGAACCCAATTCTGAGGAATATATTCTCAGGCTTCCACCACCTGAAACATGGTGCTTTGGGCTTTCTTCTTACAGTGAAGTCTTTCATCTTTGGAATTTTGAGGCTTCAAAGTGTGAAGTTCTGCTAGTTGTGATAGCCTCAGGCCATCTTTTCTGTTGTCACATTACTTCAGAATGTGTCACATTCCTCCAAAAAGTTCTCCTCTACTCGATCTTGCAGTCCACAACTTTAACAAAGCTTCTTTACTGGACAAACTCATAATGTTTTAAATGACTCTGCTAAGCTCATTGCTCTTGATTCTCAACATAGATCTGGCTAAAAGCTCCTAAGAGTAGCTATTCTACTTCAACATTAGATTACCTTTAAATTTCTTCTACCAGATTGATTAATCCACTGCCTTTATTCTCACTCAGTCTCAGACAAAGTTTGTGGACAAAGCAAAACAAATTTTCTGCCATAGCATTACATATACATGGTCTGGAGTCCAACAGCCAATGCAGTTCTTGTTTCTAACTGAAACCTCCTAGCATTTCTATCATCGTTTTTGTCTTTTGAGCTCTGACCAGAATCTCCTATCAAGTTTAATTTACAGCACTCTAGGTCTCCTTCTTTAGCTGGCATTTCCAAACCTTTCTAAGACCTTCCCACATGCTAGTTTCAGAGGCTCCTGTACCACATTACCAGGTAACATCATAGTATTGACTGTGCTCCTGGTACCAAAATCTGTCTTAGTCATTTTTCTCATGGCTGAGACAAAATACTTGACACATATAAGTCAAAAGAGGAAAGGTTTATTTCAGCTTAATTTGTAGAGGTTTCAGTCCATAGTCAGCTGGCTCCAAGGAAGGATGGCATGGTAGAGGGGCATTGCAGAGAAGAAATAAACCATGGCAAAACAGGAAATAGCAAGCAACAATGAGCAGCAAGTCTGTCTTCCCTTTTTCTCTTTACACTTCATTTGGGCTCTAAGCCTATTGATTGGTGCCAGCCACAGCCAGGATGGGGCTTCCATTTTTCACACACCCAGAACTATGCCAATTCAAATCAGTGAACTAATTTTAGTGTATATATACCCTTAATCACAGTACCACATGCTCTAGGCCCAGCCAGCTTTGAAAAGCTCCACCTGTAAGTGCATGAGGTTTTAGAGGGACACCTAGATACAAGCTACATTAGGCTGTAAGACTGAGAAGCAGGAGACTATAAATAAGATGCTGATAAATTATTCAACTCTTATTCTTTGAACTTAGCAACTCTCGGCAATCCTTTCTTTTTCTTTCTTTTTTTTTTTTTTTTTTTGTGGTACTGGGGATTGAACTCAGGACCCTGTGCTTGCCAGGCAAGCGCTTATTCTACTGAGCTATTTCCCCAGCCCAGCAATCCTTTTTAAAATAAAAATATTCACTATTGTTCATTTACCTCTTTTTTTAGAAAAAATTCCAAGAACTCCTTAATTTTAAGAAAATTTGCAAGAAACTAAACCATTCAGAGTACCTTAAACATAGTGCATCGTGTGATATCCTATTGATTTACTTTAAAAGCATTAGAAGAACCTGAAAGTTACCTAAGAAGCCTTAAACAGTCACACTTTTCATTAATGTGTGTGTGTGTGTGTGTGTGTATATATATATATATATTTATTTTTTTTTGTGACCAGCTCAGCCTGCCCTAGGGGCAGGGCTGACACAGCATGTGGTGCCTGACATCAAACCTAGGTCCCTGCACTTGCCTGAGTAGGCACGTTAGACTGCTCAGCTATTTTACTAGCCCCAATGTTTACATTTCATGCAGTGACACTTAAAATAGAGAATTTTATGAAAGGGTAAAGTTTATCAATGGTAGAAAGAAATGAATACCTGAAACCCTTGGTATTGCCTAAAATGATGACATTTTTTCCTTTCTTTTGTTGGGGGGATGGAGTTTTGCTATGTAGCCCAGGCTGGCCTCAATTCATGGTGACCCTACTGCCTCAACCTCCAAATTGCTGGCATTACAGGTGTGTGCCACTATGCCAGTAAGATGGGATTTTCTAGGAAAAGAGTTCTTAAGAAACTTGAAAAAGCAAAGGGGTAAATAAGTTTTTTGTTACTCTAGTATTACTAATGGCACTATATCCAGGCCCTAGTTTCTCCCGTGACTCTTTCAGATAATAGAAACAATATCTAACAAAATATAGTAAAATACAGGACAAAGTAGGTTCCAATTGTGTTGTGGGAATTCATGTGCTCCAGACCCATGTATCTGGCTTATTTCTTTGTGGGGTGGAAAAAGAGGTACTAGTGGGTATCCAGGGGTCCCTTCCATGCTCTTGTTATACTGTTTGATGAACTGGACAAGGCAAACAAAAAAATAGGAGTTTTACATTTATTAAATGTCAGAATAGAAAGGAAAAAAATGTGCTCTGCAGAATGAGCACAGATCAGTTAAAGAAGGAAAAAAAATACACACTGCAGAGTGCAGGGCAGGCTGGTGAAAGTCTCATAGTGGTCATGATTTTAATGTCCATCATCTTTTTTACTGCAATTCTGACACTGGATCAAGGCTATCCATCAAAAATGTGCTTCATCTTGCGCCGGAACTGAACATTCTCTGATTGCTGTAATGTGCAAGGCTAAGAAGCTTTTCTGTGGATATCCTTCTTGCACATCCAGTTTGCCATATGCAAATATCCAGCCTCAGGCGGTTGACCTATCCAGCTAGGGGACCCTGTAACAATAGTAACTGGACACTAAGTTTTTTGGTTTGCAGAACCTGGGTTTGAACTCAGGCCCTTGTGCTTGCCAGGCAAGCGCTGATTCTACTGAGCTATTTCCCTGGCCCCCTGGACACTATGTTAATCATGTTTGATACCAATGTTCTTCAAACCCACATAAAATTTTTGTCATGGCTCTTCATATTGAGGAAAGCCATGATACAGGTCTCTCTTTCCTTTCAAATTTAACTGTTTCTTAAAGTTCCTTGCCATCCTCCTGTTTGATTTGTTTTCTGCATAGCAGACATTCCACACCTTTAATCTCCTTTACTTGTGGATTGCCCCATGCCTTCCAACTTCTTCACTGTGCTTCACAGATAGGCCTCTTGGCTTCTGAAAGTCTTCATTTCTCCATCCTTACTAAAGGCTTGTTGAGAATTTACCACTATTAAGCATTATGGGCTGGGAAGATAGTCCCTCTCTTGAAGTTCAATGGCAGAGAGAAAGTAAAGTAAAAGATTACATTCAGACTGTGTCTCGGTTACATTTCTCTTGCTGCTGGGACAAAATACCCAACACCCAAAGTTAAGTAAGGATAGGTTTATTTAGCTCACACTTTTTGGAGGTTTCAGTTCATACTTGCCTGGCTCCAAGGCAGAGTGGCACATGGCAGTGGCAAACAGCAAAACAGCCAGAGCAAAAGGGAGGAGTAGAGGCAGAGCAGCAGTGGCTGCAGTGGCAGAAAGTAGAGAGAGCAAGCCTCTCTCCCTTCCTTACACTGCATCCAGGTTATTTGCCCCAGGGTGAGTGTAGCACTCATACCCATAATCCCAGCACTGGATCATGAATTAATCACAACCTCTAGAAGTCTGCCCCATGCCTGCATGAGGCTTTGCAGGGACCACTAGACACAAACCATAACAGACTCCTAAGCAGTTTAGAAAAGGGGAGCTAAATAGTCTGGCCACAGAGCAAGCCTCTAGAAGGAAATGAAGTCTCAAACCATGGAAGATGTTATACTGCCCCCAAGTGGGGCCATGGTTTAGACAAAAAGATGGATTGAAGATATTATTCCCAGGAGACAAAATTGAAAGAACTGGGCAATGAAAGAACAGGCAGCTGTGAAAGTGAAGAAAGAAAACTTAAGGATGACTCCCCTCCAGCTTGAATGACTCAGTAGTGCTACTCAACAAGATCTGAACCATGCAAGAGGGAATCTCTTAAAGATGATGTATTTCTAGATGTATGTTTGAACTCTATTCACTAGGCAATCCAACTCTGGAGAGAGTCAACTGTGCAAGTGGATTTGGCTGTGGCCACAGGAAAGGTATCACGGGTTTGAGTGAGTGTGTTAAGTTCAAAGAAGATTGCAGTTAGAACCCCAAAGAACACAGCATGAAGGGACTGGCAAATATCCTCTGCCCATTGTTCTGGCTGCATTTCAAGGCCCTACAAGTTGTGACCCTGTGCTCTGGCCACCCTGAGTTCTCAGGGATTTCCAAACACACCATGCTGTTTTTTTCTGCAGAGTTCTCATTCCCCCTTCCCCTGGGAGTAATCCTTATAAGCCAAGTACCCTAATTTGTGGTTTGAACACCCCCACTGTAACCAGCAGGGAGCCCTCCTTCCCAAGAGTTACCAGAGCTACCTACACTGATAGGCTATGTACACTCTAGAACAGTACGGACACAAAGGGATGAGGAGTTCCAGAGTCAACGTCAGGCCCATCTTCACGGCTGGATCCTTCATGTTCTTTGGGATTTTACAACTATGACAAGTTCATTACATGTGTGCTGAGCTGCTCAGGTGAGAGAATCTTACAATCCATGGAGCTGGACGTCGGTACGCGTCACAGTCAACGCAGTACCAGACCTTGGCCCTCGGGGATCACGCAAAACTCCTGCTGGGAGTCCCGTCCGCTCGGGGCGGGGCGGGGCGGGACCGCTCGCGGGGCCTGTACTCCCAGAGCCAGTTCCCGCCGCTCAGTAGCGCCCAGTCCTCAGGAAACGCTGGGCGGGCGCCGGCCTCGAGGCACGCAGCGCTCGGAGGCGCAGGCGCGGACCCTGGTAGGCGGTACCTGGTAGGAGCCGCCGGCCAAAGCCAGCTCCGCTAGGACCGCTCGGCCATTAGCAACGCAGCTGTAGGTGATCGTCATAGCCGGCGGGACCAGTGAAAGAAGTGAGCCCGCCGGTTCCAACCGCCCGCCTCAACCTCGGTACGGGCTCCGGGCAGAGGCGGCCCCTGCGCAGGCGCGAGGAGCGGTTGCTGGGCCGACGGGGGCGTGGCCACTTGTGGGGGGCGTGGCCAACTGTGGGCTGCGCGGAGCCTGTGAATGGATCCTTAAAAGTATTTAAGAGCGCTTTTTCCTCACTGGGGTTACCTGCTTATGATTTGTTCAGGGTCTCGGACACGTAAAACGCACACGTTGGCGTAAAGTAAGATTCATTCACTCATTCAGCCTTTGGCCGACCCTCACGATGCGCATCCTCGGGCTCCCGGGTGTGCGAAGGCGACGGCCCTGCTTTTCGGCAGCTCTCGCCCCGTCGTGGTCCCTTCCGCAGCGGGTGCGTGCTCTGCGTGCGTGCGCTGCGTGCGTGCTGTGTGTGTGCTGCGGCGCGTGCGCGGACGGCCAGGTGGACAGAACGGGGCTAGCAGGTGCTGGCCTAGTAGGGAGGGACGGAAGGGGCGAAGGCAGGCAGGGGAAGTTCTGTGGAGCCTTGAGAGACCTTTGGTCCTGGGAATGTGAGGCGGGATGGCGGAGAAGAGGTTGTGGGAGAGGCAAGGCGAGGCGAGGGGCGCCGGGGTAGAATGGCATTTTTACGTCTTGGATGCCTGGACTACTGTCTGCAGAAGCACTAACCTAAGATAGCTCATGTATTTTCAGCAGCGAGGTATCGTGGCACAGTGGAAAAAGCACGGCCTTTGAAATCAGTTTACAGCCTTGGCATTTGCGTGTTCTTGTTCTGCCGCTCAATGTTTCTCAGACTCAATTTCCTTATCTATAAAATGGGAACCATTGTCAAGTTTACATGAAGTAATTAGCAAAACACTGGCATATGGTAGCTGTGCTGTTGCAGTCCTGATTGTTGATGAGTATGTAAAGAAGCGTTAGTTTCTTGCTCCCAAGGCTGTCTCTTTAAAGGAAAGACAGACTATCTTGGAATTAAAAACAGGTTGTCAATTCAGTGTACTCAGTTCAATTAAATTGGGTTTGACAAGGAAACAGCAAAACCGATGTTGTAGCTCCTGAAAAAAAATGCTACGTTGAATCGTCTATCCTGTTGTAGAGAGGAAAGCTTGAATCAGTATCTGACCAGTTAGAAGTACTATCTGTGTAACAGGTAAGGGGACTGGATCACAAGCACTTGGTCACCTTACTTTCTCTGGGGGGAATTACGTTAATTCTGAGGTGATGCTTGGTGCTACTCAAGTTTACAGTCAGATTAAGCTCAATAAATTTGGCCACATTACAGCAGTCTGTGTAAAGAAATCATGAGCTGTAGTAAAATAATTTTTTATTAAAATTATTAGCATTAAAATTATAGACTAAAATCTTGTAGGAGAGGTGTATATGGTCCTGACCTATCTCATTGTGAACTTACTGTATTAGAATAACCCTATGAAATAGGTGTGTTGGGTTCATTTTACACAATCCACATATTCAGGCCTGCAGTGCAGCTCAGTACAGCTTTATCTTTCTTTGAGCCCTTTCTCCTTGCTCAGCTTTCCAAATGTTTCGTTCTTCCCTGCAGTTGCACATTGTTCCACCCTGTTCTTTCTTGTTTCCTTAGGTCAGCTCAGGATTTCATTGCTTTCTTCTTTCACCACAGGATGGCATCTGTCTCTCTCTTTTTTAATGTGTGTGTGTGTTCTGAATCATGGTCATTATCTTTGTAAGGTGGCATCTGCCTGCTTAATCAGACCCTCCATTCACACCTTCTGCTTGGTATGTCGGGGCCCTCATGAATGCTGTAGTTCTCTCTCAGCCAGTTTTGTAACTCTGTTGGGGGAAGAGATACTTTCTGCTGTTCCACAGGCCATTCTGAGGCTGGGAGTCTTATCCTATCCTGCCACCTTTCCTGTCATGCTGTCATGTGGAGAGCAGTTCTTGAACCTTACTCACAGGGAAACAAGCCCTCAGATCCCATTTCCTAGGTGTCTTCTCATCACTGTACTCCATCCATCCATTCCTCTCTCCCCCAGTGCACTTTATGGCTAATCACAGTGCTTCCTCTGCCTGCTCTCCTGAAAGGAGAGATTCCAACAAAGGTCAAAGTCTATTTTTATCATTTCATAGAAATAACCACTGCCAGTAAGCTAACTTACAGCTATGTTTTTTAAAAATGTTTTTATGTCAACATTGATGAATACATTAATGAATACACAAATATCTTTTGTGAGATCTCCCCCGCTTTTTTTTTTCAGTGCTGGAGATTGAACCCAGGGCTTCAAGTGTGCAAGACAAGTGCTCTACTACTGAATTATACTAAAGACTTCTGAAATACATTTTTTAACTTTCGTTTTAATATGTTGGGAAATGGGTACACCTTGAGATCATAATGTTAAATGAAATAAACCAGACACATAAGCGTAAATATCCTATGGTTTCTTTCTTTTTTTTTTTTTTAATGTGCTTGGTACAGGGTGTCACTATGCAGCATGGACTTATAGTGATCCTCCTGTTTTCAGCCTCCCCAGAGCTGGACTCAGTGGCTGGCACAGTGTGCCCCGGGGGTGGGGCTGGTGTGGCATGTAGTGCCTGGAATTGAACCTGGTCCCTGTGCTTGCCTAAGCAGGCGATTAGTCTGCTGAGCTATCTTGCCTGCCCTTGGTTTCTTTTATATAAGAAACCTAAAGCATAAATAAAGTGCAAAATAAATGGTGGAGAATAGGAATTAGGATTGTTCTTTTGCAAATGGGAAAGGCCTAGAGATGGAGCGCAGGAGAGGGAGGCGAGAAGTAATAAGAATTAAGATATACACATGTACCAGCTCCCCACTATGAATGTAATCACTATTACTATGAATGTGTACTAATAAAAAATTTAAAAGTTTCTCTTGACTATCGTTTGTATTTCAAATATCTTGAGTTTATTTTGGTTACCTTTTTCTTTTAGATGTTATTCTTTTACAGACTTTTCTTTTGTACTCATTTTGTCAAACTTGGGACTTTCATGTCAGGCAAAAAGTTTGTGTTTAAAAAATTCCCTGATTTTTCTGTAGATTTTGTGTCAATGTTTAGAACTTGAGCAAAGTTCTAAATGTAGGGTAAGTATTCTACCCCCCCCCCATTTCTGCAGTTCAGGCTGGCCTTGAATTCACTTTTTTCCAGGTTGGCCTCAAACTTGTAGCAATCCTCCTGCTCCCAAGTGCTTGGATTATAGTTGTGCACCACCACGCCCAGCCACTTCTTATTAATTGTGTTTTTATAGAAGCTCTCCAGGTCTTTTTATAAGGTTTGACAAATTGTTAGGTTTATTCTGGGCTAATTTTGGTTACTCTTGTTAATGGAATTTATTCTTCATGTTGTTTTCACACTGGCTGTTTCTGGCATGTAGAGGATCTAATATATTCTGTGTATAGCCCTCTATTCTATAATTTCTGTGAGGCCTTGGGCTTCCCATAAGCATACAGGACTTCGTTCAGCATGCACATGACCTGACATAATGCTATTGACAGTCAATTGACTGCTCTGCTAGGCGTAGCATCCCATGGAGGGATACATGCTAGGTGGAGCCTGGATGATGATTCAGGTTAGTGGAATGGTGAAATGCTGAAGGGACTTTGGAATCAGGCAGACATGGACTTGAATCCTCACTGCCACTTCTAGTTGCTTAACTTCAGCATTGCTAAACTTCAGTATATAAAACATTTTTACTGGCTGCAGTGGGTGTTCCCAATTGGGTGGTTGCTGTGTTAGGTACGATTTCAGGTTGCCGTAACAATGAGATGCACACACAATTAAGAAAGCATGCCCTGGCCAATGTGAGGTACTTTCCTGTGCATTCAGTGAACCTATGTGGGTCATCACTTACTACATTTACAGAAATTTCCAGAATTCTTTTGCAAAATGTGTTCTCTGTCTCTAGCTTGTATGTTTCCTGTGAACAGAGGCTAAGGATGATTCTGTGTTACCTTACCACATTACACAGTGGCAGAAAAGAGGGCTGAGTTGGTTCTTGAGGAATTCAAGATGCAAATAAGCTAGGTTTTAGGCAACGAATCCAAGAAATACAGTCATGGAGCACTTTAAAGTAACAGTGTTTGCGCAGATCTCTGGCCTTTGATCCCTTTGAAGGAGGTGCCAAAGATTATGTGGTGTGGTGCAGGAAGGCATTTCAGAATCTTTTTTATTTTATTTTATCTTTATTAATGTGTTTGGTACACTACGCAGCTGGACTCATAGTGATCCTCCTGTTTTCAGCTTCCTCAGTGCTGGGATTACAGGCATTCACCACCATGCCTGACTAGGTCGCTGGCTCAGCATGGCTGGCGGTGGGACCAGTGTGGCATGTGGTACTGGGGATCAAACCACAGTAGGGCTTTTTGAACTCTTCCTGTTCAACCCTTCATCCCACCAACATCTTGATTCTGTCATTACCTCATCCCCTATTTGAGGGTGTCTTGAGGGGCAAGGCTTTACTATTATTGGGAATGCTGGTGTCTCTCAGGTGGATTGGAGGAGAGAAAAGTTGTTTTCTCTCCATTTTGTGAAATGAAATACAGTAATTTAATCATTTATTTCCTGCCCCTGCTTTTGTTGTCGTCGTTAATACAGATGGGGTTGACTTCTCATCTTTTTTGAGAAGTAAAATCAAACAGAGAAGTGGCAAACCATGCTGAGGGCCACCCAACGTAGGGTCAGTTTCCCTGCAGTTGGTTTGAAATATAACTGCAGTGCAGAGCCAGCAGAGGGAGCCCAGAGCCCAGATTTGAAGGAGTGTGCAACCTACAGCTGGGGACAATCAGCAAGGCCACTGAGGGCTTTCATTGAGGAAAGAGATGAGACCTAGGAAGAATATCTATTCCTCACCTTCGTTCCCATGCTTACTTCTATAACTCATTCAGGCTCACACAAGCCTTATGTTCCCTGCTCTGCAGCTTTGCACAGCTCTTGCCTTTCCTTTGGTTGGGCACACAAGAAGATGCCCAAGTGCTGTTTTGTTCTCTGTGCTGCTTTTCCTGGGTCAGTTACTTTGCTCAGGTTTGGAGGATGCACC